ACCAGATAGGAAGAGAAAATGGTATCTGGCATTCCATCGTATCGATAACGCTTTAAAAGTATTTTATCAAACGATCCATGTGTCAACGGGATTCGATATGAACCACTTTGAAAACTTGCTTAAAACTAATCGTGTGTGTGTGTGTATGTGTGTATATATTTTTTTTTTATTTATTAAAATGATTATATTATTAAATATATATATATATATATTTTTTTTTTTCTTAGAATTTTTATCAATGATTCATGTGTCAATGAGGACAACTTTGAAAACTTGTTTTATATCTATGATATACATATTATATTTATTTATTTATTTATTAAAACAAGTATATTATATTATATGGTTAAGTATATATATATTTTTTGTTAGGGTATAAACTTCGTTAACTTAAGTCAGGAATTTGAGAAGCATAAAGGGAGATAAGTATAAGTAGTTCGGCCCTTGTTTACATCATGAAGCGTCTAACTAAAAGACGGCAACTGGTGATATATAAGTTTATATAGTACTTAGGAACTGAACATAAATTGTTCTCATATAAAATAATTTATAACAATAAGCGATAATAAATGATTAATATATATGACATTTCGTACAAATTCATTCGTCTTCTTGACGAATCGCCATCGAACTATGAAATAGACCATTTTGATTTTGAAGTTCCGCTTAGGAAAAACAAACAAACAAACAAAAAAAAAATGAATTTGACTTTGAAATTTTTCCTACCGTCCGACGTGAAAAAAAAAAGAAAGAAAGAAAGAGAAAAAAAAATTGGCACCGTATGACGTGCACTCCTCTCCCTTTCCCTTTGCCCTTTCAAAACCAAACAAATTTTTTCTCCCCCTACCTTCTCCCACTCTCTGATCCATAAAAAAAAAAAGAAAAATTTTTTTTGACGGTTTCAGTCCGTCGCACGAGATATTCATATTTTTCTTCGAGATAAATTGGACACTCTATACACATAATATATATATATATATATATATATATATATATATAAGATAAATTATCAACTAATATCATCGTTCTCTCATTTTTAGAACAACATATCATCGTTCGATCATTTTCAGAACGTTAGCAAATCGGAGAGAAATTTCCTTCTTTCATTGAAAATAAATCGGCTTGAAGGCCATGTCGGCGCCAAGCAAAATGTTTTCGTTATTTTGAAATCATCCTTTCACATGCTCATTAATAAAGTTCGTAAAAAAAAAAAAAAAAGCAAAGACGTACGATGTGCGTGTATGCGACTTTTAAAAAGCAAAGAAGACCGTCGTGTTTTTATCTTTAATTTTTTTTTTATTTCTTTTTCTTTTTTTTTACCCATCGTCGTATTTCGAAGTGTATTAGAATCAACGATCACGATGATCTCAATGAAGATCGAGATTAATCAATATTAATGAATTATATTTCGAATCATTTCGAAACGAAATTGCTATACCTTGCCAATACTCTCTCTCTCTTTCTCTCTCTCTCTCTCGTTTATTACACTATTTTTGCTTTTCGAGGGACCAATTTCACCTGTCGATCGCATTAATCACACAGCGTTACCGTAACAAAATGAGAGTAAGAGGAAGCAAAAGGTATAGGAGAAGGGAAACGGGGAAAGAGAAAAGAGAGAGAGAGAGAGAGAGAGAGAGAGAGAGAGAGGGAGAGGGAGAGAGGGAGAAGGAGGGAAGGAAGGGAAGAGGGATAACACGCAAACGACACAGGTTTGCTAAGCATTACGTTATTCAAACGAGCTCACTGTGATATTTTCGCCCGTACAAATATGGACTTTCAATCGGCAATCAGCGAATCGTACGGACACTGCGAACCGTGCATCATAGGCACCGACAGATAAACTATGTAGATACTTACACATATGTATTTATATATAAATATATATATATATATGTATATACCGTATGCATCTATGTATGTACGCATAGATGTGCGTATATATATATATATATATATATATATATATATATATGTATGTATGTACGTATGTATGGGACCATAGACTGAACGCGGTTAGGGCGCGCGAGGGCAAATATCTAAGCGTGAGAGAGTGTTAAAGGTCGTGTCGATAGTGATCTTCGAAGAACTTTGATATCGTGCAAGATAAAAGTGTATGGATGTATATATCTACGTATGTATGAGATGTGTACGTATACGTAATGTATATAGTACGCGTATATTATATGCAATTAAATGAGAGAAACTCTGGCTTACTATAAAATCGTACGCTATGACCTCGAGAGTTATAATAAATTGGTGTTTCTGCTTATTATTATTGCTATTATTATTATTATTATAATTATTATTATTTTCTTCTTTTGCCTTTTTCTTTATTTTTTAAGACTACGTGAGATATTTTACCTCCCTATCTCTATCTCTTTATCTTTCCTTTGCACGCACGTGTTATCGTCGTAGATCTATTCAATTTGATTTGATTTGTTACTTTTTCTTTTTTTCTTTTTTTTTCTTTATTCCTATCATTTTCTACTTTCATGCCTCG